CTTGAGGTGGAAGCTAATAAATGCAACAGAATTGTATTTGCATTGTCTCGTGGAGTTCTTTGGGCTGAACCTGACACTGATTGATATAAAGCACTGTACTTAAACCATGCTTAAACATGGATTATATTAAATTGCAATTGGCTAGATTCAAACAATATACTAAGCCATGCACCATGAGAGTCACTACCCTATAGTTCAGCACCCTCCCATGGGGATAAACACGGGGTGGGGAAGGGGATCAGGGCCATACAAGGTCCCACCCCACCTTTGCTTTAACAGCCTCTGGCCTTTAATAATTTTTTTCTGAAGTTTTCCACACTGTGCCCAGTATTCTAACATATGCCAGTTCTGAACTGACATGGAGGGAGGAGAGCCATGTTAGTCTATGGTTGCCAAAAATCAGAAGGGGTTTGGTATTACCTGTTCAGACTAACACATTTTCTAAAAAGGCATAAGCTTTTCACTTCATCCGCTGCATGGAGTGGCTAAACTAGTGTAGGGTTTAAATTGGGATGAGATGAGAGGGAAGGGAGGGAAAGACCGGACAGCTATGCAGATTACATGAGACAGATTACAACTACCTTACCAATTAACAGTTGTAATCTAAATAAAACCCTACATCAGAATTAACATCAGAATTAGGATCTGACATCAGGATTTATATCAGAACCTGTAATGGTATGTGAGAAAGACCCTGAGAGATGGGGTGGAGAGATGCTGCCTAGGGAATGGTTAGATAAGAGAGGGCATAGCCTGCAGCTGCATAATGGGTGGAGCAAGAGGCTCAGAAGGGACCCTCCCTAGTTTCTTGGGCTATAAAGTGGGAGATTTGTACTTTTAGACTTGCAAGCTTCTGTTAATGTAGCCTTACAATAAAGTAGAATTAGCTCCTCTGGTTGTGTTTCCTGTCTGGTCTACCTGGGAGGGCTGACAAAAGCCTACTCTGAAAAGGTAATATCAGAGTCCTAATTTTTCAGTGATAAATTGGAAGTTCCCAGCTCCTCCCACTGATTTTAAGGGCACAAAATAATAGTTTATGACCTGAAGCTGTGCTGGACCTTTCGTATAAATCAAGACTTGACAAGGGGGCCTTTTGCCCAAAGTGACAGTCTGGAAAGTTCAACCAACAATAGTCTGCTTTCTAAAAGGCCATGTGCTTGAAGGAGGAGGAGACGCCTTCCCAATTTAGTCTCCTCCAGATAAGATGGATTACAATCCCCATTATCCTTAGCCATCATGGGAAAGACAGATGTGCTCTCCATTGAAAGATCACCTATTGGATCCCCCTGCTGCTACAACTGAAACTCTTCCATGGGCCAACCGGAGCCTCTGAAGCAAGTCATTTTCGGTCCTAGAAAAAATAAGGACAGATAGCTTCGCACATGCTAACGAAGCACAACTGAACTGTACTGTCAGATTCAGCCGGCATGGCATGGCACGGCGAACACCGCTGCTCAGTTTCACCTAGTCAATTGGCAGCGAAAAAGGGGAAGTGAGCCAAACCGCGAACTGATTGCTGATAGGTGGCGGCGGTTAACTCCAGCCGAGAGCGGATACTTTGTATCATCACCGGCTTCCCTTGAGCGCTGCAGACAAAGGGAAGCGCAGCGGCTCGGAAGCGCAGCCATCAGCGCGCGATTGAGAACTACCGGCTTTACACGCAACAGGAAAACCCAACAAAGGCAACAACCGCACAACCCATAGTCAGCAATCAAGAAGTCAAAAGAACCGGACTGAATCTGCCATTTGGGCGAGGGGGGATTACTGCAGGTAATCGGTGACTAAGCAACGGGGTAAAGCGCGGGAATGGGGAAACTATAAAACACCATGAAAGCTATGCCAAGCCAACCCTGGGTTTGTCTGTACCTACCTATGTTACACTCTAGTAAACTTCTTTGCTGAACTTGCGTGTCACGAGAGTTTCTTTGGAGCTGAACGGGATAAACCTTACACTGTACTTACCTTCCACCTAAGTCCCAATGCCTGGAAGGCTATACCACTTCCTCAGGTGGGGTAAGAGGTTGATTGAAAAAAGGGAGGAAGAGGACTCTTGGCTCCCCAAATGAGGTCTTCTGATGAGGTCTTCTCATTTCCACCAAAATTCCAAAACTGAGCTACCTTTGCTTTTTATAAGACTACCATTTTGGAAAGGTGAACTTACAGCTGTTATGGAAGGCTTCTTTCCATCACCGGCTGGAGGATGAGTCACATCAGCTCCCAGGAATATAACTGGCTGCTGAAAAACGGCAGAACTAGGAGCAAGATGAAGCAGGCGTTTTAATACAAAGGATTGCCAAAGATTGTTCTCAGATGTCTGAGGCCAGAAATGATACTACAATGCTTTATAAAAGCTGACTGTCCAACGGTTTGGTGAACTGGAGTCTTTGATCCCAGCCCACTGGTTGCATCAGCAACAGCCAGGTTGGGTTTGCACAACACCCTTGATTATTGAATTATTGAACTAGCCATTTTCTGGGTGTGCTTTGCATGATAACATGAATGGCAAACGAATGAAGTAGAGTTCAGTTCACCCTTGTTAAGCCACAAAAACCAGCAAGGCTAACACTACATTTAGCATGTTGTGAAAACACAACCTTTACGTCTTTAACTGACCTGATCAGGGTTTATCTTATAACTCCAATCCATCAGCAAGTTATACTGTCATATTATTTAACCTCCCCCTCCCTATCTAATACTGAAAATGTGTGGAAAATCTTTTGGAGGCAGAAAGAAATTAAGAACAACTGTAGTGAGTTTGTGTAGTGTTGTGCCCCTCCCTCGAGTCTCTTACAAGGTAAAACTGAATTTCCTCCATGAAATTTCTCTCCTTGAAAAATACCAAGAGGCTCCTTGACTAGGAAGGAGCCAACAACGGGACACCATGGCTTTGTTGACAATGCTGCTCCTCCAGTGAAAAACACAGAATTTGGGGGTGGATTTTATTACTGTCCAATTGTCGTTTTAACTCTGTACTGCACTCTTTTTTGGGGAAGAGCTGGTTGGAGTTGGAGCAGATGGCGGTCCACAACAATTAATATTTAGAAGGGGAAAAATAAACAGATCTTTTTCTTAATAAACATAATTCACACTGAGATACAGAATCCAATTTTTTGGCATGCTGTTGATAAAGGCCAAGGGCATATGCATCTTTAATAGAATAAACATAATCAGGGCCAGAAAATTCCAGAAGCGAAGGAAGAATTCAGGAGTTCACATTCAGTTTTACAAAGCACTTGGGGTTTTCCACGGGCTCAGAGGGAGAAGGAGAACACAAGAGAAGCACAGGGGAGGAACAAAGAAGGGTGCTTCCCTTCAGCCCCGTGCAATACATACCGCTGATGGGGCACCAAGATATTGTTAATTCCTCCAAGTTTAACGTTGATCTTGAGACAAAGGTTGGAAAGAGTCTGAGGTGAGGTCTTCACCACATTTTTGACCTGCACACACTGAGTGGCCATGCCCAGAAGGGTGTCCCCTACACGCTTCACCTCCGCTGCAGGGAAAGAGCAGAGCATCAGAGATGCAGAGAGCACCCTCCACAAAAGGACTGTTCATGTTTTGCCAGATTGAGGTCTTTAGGAAGACCTCAATCAAGAATAAAATCAAAGTCCCATAAAGAACAGAGGATTCTTGAGCTGTTCCAAAGATGTAAAGACTGCGTGTTGGTTAGATTAGTGTTAAGCAACCTTGACCATTTCCAGAGAATGAGCCAACTCCCAGAATTCTCATCAAGGGCAGTGGTGGCTGGGGAATTCTGGATGTTAAAGTCTACACATCTGGAAGTTCCCAAGGTCCAATCTCCAGATGTTGAGACTACAACTCCCCACCTAGCCCTGTGCCAGAGGACAGGAATGCTGTATCCTCTTGTCCCTCTGATTTTTCCTATCGAGTGTTATTTTGTTACGTTTATTTTAATGCTGTTATCAGTTAGAACAGCCTTCCAAATGCGTTGGGGCCCCCAGAATAATATTAGATGGGAAAATTATGCTATTGCCATTTACACACACATCCTGCACCCATACACTGATTGCTTTCACATCAAACACTGAAGTAAACCGTTTTCTGGGTACTGAACCATAAACCAGCTAAACAAGCTGGCTTTGCATAACATGCGAAACCATAAAAAAGAAAAAGAAAAAATTAAGGTTAACGCTAACCAACCATGCATCGGATAGGTGTTTCTTTAACCTGGTTGCATGAATGGAGCCGGGCTGTTATAATTTCAAAGAGTAAATAGCAATAGAGATCCAGTTTGGGGTAGTGGAGAAGGCACCAGGCAAGGAACCAGGAGATGGTGAGTTCTAGTCCCACCTTAGGCACGAAACCAGCTGGGTGACCTTGGGCCAGTCCTCCTCTCTCAGCCCTAGGAAGGAGGCAATGGCAAACCACCTCTAAAAAAGCTTGCCAAGAAAACTGCAGGGACTTGTTTGGGCAGTTGCCAGGAGTCAAGATTGACTCAAAGGCACCAAAAAAAAAAAAAAAAGCAATAGTGTGGGTATGCTGTGGAAATCATACCATATCCATTTTTAAAAATATGAAAGTATGCCCTGTAAAGATAGGATGCATCACTTTAACAGGCTCCACCTAGAATTGCCTATAAATGCCGAACAGTCATTGGAACCCTAGACAGTGATTACACCAGTGTTTCTCAAGCTTGGCAACCTTAAGACATGTGGATTTCAACTCCCAGAATTCCCCAGCCAGCCATGCTGGCTGGGGAATTC